AAAGTTTTACACTTAGGCAAGAAAAACCAAAAGTACACATATAGACTGGGGGAAACCAGGCTTAATAGCAGTAACTGTGAGAGGGATCTTGGACTCTTAATGGACAACCAGCTAAATATAAGTCAAGTGTGCAGCGGCAGTCAAAAAAATCAATGCAATCCTAAACTGCATTAACAGAGGGATACAGTCAACATCAAGGGAGGTACTAATACCACTCTAGAAAACCTTAGTAAGACCACACCTAGAGTACTGCATCCAGTTTTGGTCACCACACTATAAAAAAGATGTTGAGACTCTAGAAAGAGTGCAGAGAAGAGCAAGAAAAATGATTAGGGGACTGGAGGCTAAAACATACGATGAACACTTGCAGGAACTGGGCATGACTAGTCTAGTTAAGAGGGGAGACATGATAGCAGTCTTTCAATATTTGAGGGGCTGCCACAGAGAGGAAGGAGTCAAGCTATTCTCCAAAGCACTTGAAGGCCAGACAAGGAATAATGGATGGAAACTGAACAAGGGGAGATTCAACCTGGAAATAAGGAGAAATTTTCTGACAGTGAGAACAATCAACCCACGGAACAGAAGTTGCCTTCGGAAGTTGTGGGAGCTTAATCATTGGAGGCTTTCAAGAAGAGACTGGACTGCCATTTGTCAGAAATGGTGTAGGGCCTCCTGCTTGGGCGGAGGGTTGGACTGGATGACCTACAAGGTCCCTTCCAACTCTGTTAATTTGTATCTGCATCAGTTGCAAAAGTTCTGAGCCATAGAAAAGGATGAGTTAGTTGTACGCTGAGTTAAATGAGGGTTCAACGGAGAGTTAGGTACTGTAGCCCATTATTAACCATTTGGCCTTATGCACACAAACTGTATGGACAGCTGATTTGGGAGAGGTAGCATTGAAAAATGAGCAGCACGGTGTCCAACCGTGGCCCCTTTAAAACCTGTGGACTCCAACTCCCAGAATTCCCACAGCTAGCATGGCTGGCTGAGGAATTCTGGGAGTTGAAGTCCACAGGTCTTAGAGTGGCCGAGGCTGGACATCCCTGAACATGGGTTTAGTTCAGATAGGGATTGAAAAGGGAAGATTTTGCTCTAGTTAAAGATTGCCAAGCTAAATATTAACCAAGCCAAGGCCATTAAAGGGCCTGGTGGCTCAGCAGACTGATAGCATTGTGATTAACACCAGCTGTCTGCAATTACTGTAAGTTCGAATCTCCCCAGGCTCAAGGTTGACTCAGCCTTCCATCCTTTCTAAGGTAGGTAAATTGAGGACCCAGTTTGTGGGGGCAATAAGCTGACTTTGTATAAATATACAAAAGTATGAAGGCTATTGCTTAACGCACTGTAAGCCGCCCTGAGTCTCCGGAGAAGGGCGGCATACAGGGTGGATAACAATCAATGATTTTTTAAAAAAAAAATCAAAAAAATCAGATTTTTTTTTATTTTTATCGAATTTATTTTAATAAAAAACTTTTGGGGTAAAAATCTATCGTAAGATAGTTTTCTATTTAAGATACATAAACAATTTAGTTTATTCAGCATGAAATGGAGCTTAGTTATGTAGCAGGAGGCTGTATATTCTGCAACACTGGGACTATCGGTGAGTCAACAGCGGGTCAAAGGAGTAGCAGAGATGACAGCTGCTCTTTAAAAATTATGATTTAAATCGAGTTGATTTAAATCAAGCCTTTTTACTAGTGATTTAAATCATGATTTAAATTGTGATTTAAATCAACTCGATTTAAATCAAATTCACCCTGGCGGCATATAAATCAATTTTTTTTTAAAAAAAAATGGAGGTGGGGGGAGGGGGTAAGGAGAGGCAGATTAAGAAAAGTGATAGCAAGAGGAGGAGGGGTGGGTGGTGGAACATGGGCCCCGGGAAACTAGCAACAGTGTGAGTGATGGAGGGGACATAGCAATAGCACTTAAACTTCTGTACCACTTCACAGTGCTTTACAGCCTTCTCTAAGCAGTTTACAAAGTCAGCCTATTGCCCCCAACAATCTGAGTCCTCATTTTACCCACCTCGGAAGGATGGAAGGCTGAGTCAACCTTGAGCCTGGTGAGATTTGAGCTGAAACATAACTATTAACTCTGTCATATTTGCCTTGCAAAATCACTGGGAAATCTTTTTTTTTTAAAGTTGTTGATTAAATTTACATGCCACCCAATTTCTCTATCAAGCAACTTTAAGCTTTCCTTCATCCCAAACACAGAACTACAAATCTTTTCCAAGCAGCAACCCTGCTAAAGGAAGGCCGCTCCAGAAATATTTCTCGAAAGCAACAGGCTTGGTAGTTTGATGCCTAAATGCATTTGCCAAGTTTGTGTATCACTTCAGCTGAAGTGGAAAAATGAGAATTACGGGGCACTGAGTCAGAATGGAGGAAAAGTGTTTGCACAATCCAGATTGTCAAAACAAGTCTCCTGTTTGCACAATCTGCAAAACCGAAACCAATCAACCGTATGAGTCATGGGGCGATGACTGAAGTCATCTTAAAGATGGTCATTGAGTTTCTATAATGCAGAGTTGCAAATTACCCAAACTCATTTTAACTTGGTTTAGCAGGATGGATAAAAAAGCCCCCGCCTGGCATCACTGAACTGTGTTTAGTTACCAACTTCCAACCAGCAATGTTCACACAAACTGGAGAGGATGGGATTTGTAATTCGGTGGGGAGAGGCGGCCTAGGTGGCTATCCCTCTCGAGTTGTGTTCAATGGAGCTGATTATCACAATGTGTGAGTGTATGCTGTCCATAGAGATTATAAGTATATTATATTATATTATATTATATTATATTATATTATATTATGTATGTATGTATGTATGTATGTATGTATGTATGTATGTATGTATTTCTCTTTAGCCAGGTTCTTCCTACGTAAACCAAGATTTTTATGCAGCCCTAGTTCAGTGAAATCACAATCCACTAGTTTCTAGGCATTTTTTCTGGCAGCCAGAAAACACTCTGCTGCCCATTGGGAGACTTTTTGCATATATATATATCCCATCCTCCCTTTTCTCGCACAAGCACGAAGCCGAAGACACCAGCCTGAAGATGACGAGTGGGACCTTGTTGAAACGTCACCAAGATACTCTCAATCTTACACAGGAAAAGACCGAACACACCAAAACTTGCATACCTCTACCCGTGAAAATCTATGAAAACAAATATATATATATATAAAACACACACATATAATATAATATATATATATATATATATATAATATGTCACCTCCCGACTGGACTACTGCAATGCTCTCTACATGGGGCTCCCCTTGAAAAGCACTCGGAGGCTCCAACTGGTCCAGAATGCGGTCATGCGGATGGTTACGGGCACAACTCGTTGTGCCCACGTGACACCCCTCCTGCGCGAGCTGCACTGGCTCCCAGTGGACTTCCGGGTGCGATTCAAGGTGTTGGTTACCACCTTTAAAGTGCTCCATGGCATTGGACCTGGGTAACTTCGAGACGTCTTCTGCCACCAGTAGCCTCCCACCGGCCAGTCCGCTCCGCAGAGGGTCTCCTCAGGGTGCCATCAGCCAAATTATGTTGGCTGGCGACACCCAGGGGGAGGGCCTTCTCTGTGGGAGCCCCTGCCCTGTGGAATGAACTGCCCCCAGAAATTCGCAAAATCTCTGATCTCCATGTATTTCGCTGTGCCCTCAAAACCATGTTGTTCCGCCAGGCTGGGCTATCAATATAAAGATTTTAATTGGTTTTAAATGGGATTTTAAATTTGGGGTTTTATAAATTGGGCCTATTATTTAATAATTTTAATTATTTTTAAATATTGTCTGTCTTTGTGTTTTTAATTAGGCTGTACACCGCCCTCAGTCCTTCGGGAGAAGGGAGGTATAGAAATAAAATAAATAAATAAATAAAAAAAATATATAATGATATATAATATCATTAATAATATTAATATTATATCATGTAATATTGCAATTTATATTGTTTCCTAATATGATTGACTGCTTATTGTACCGTATGACTGTCACTGGGTGTTGTGATTCTTGACGAGCGTATCTTGTTTCCTTGTGTACAGAGAGCATATGCACCAAAGACAAATTCCTTGTGTGTCCAATCACACCTGGCCAATAAAGAATTCTATTCTATGCTATTTTATATGACTGACTGACTGACTGACTGACTGACTAGATAGATAGTCAGTCAGTCAGTCAGTCAGTCAGTCAGTCAGTCAGTCAGTCAGTCAGTCAGTCAGTCATCAGTCAGTCAGTCAGTCAGTCAGTCAGTCAGTCAGTCAGCCAGCCAGCCAGCCAGCCAGCCAGCCAGCCAGCCAGCCAGCCAGCCTATGGAGATTGTCAATCATCCAGGTGATGATTGTCCTGTCAGTCAGTCAGTCAGTCAGTCAGTCAGTCAGTCAGTCTATGGAGATTGTCAATCATCCAGGTGATGATTGTCCTGTCAGTCAGTCAGTCAGTCAGTCAGTCAGTCAGTCTATGGAGATTGTCAATCATCCAGGTGATGATTGTCCTGTCAGTCAGTCAGTCAGTCAGTCTATGGAGATTCTCAATCATCCAGGTGATGATTGTCCTAAATATGCTTTTTCCAAAAGGCACCTGGACTTTCTGTTGTTGTTTTTTTCTTGGAAAACCCCTCTGCTTTTCAAGAGATGAAGTGAAGTGAAAAGAAGTGAAGTGAAGTGAAAAGAAGTGTGAAGCTTCTTGGACCAGAGAAGAAAAACAAAGAAAGAACAAAGAAAAACTTTGGAAACAAAAGTTTTGCTCCCCCCCCCCCAAAAAAACCAAACAAAAACAAAACCCCAACAAAACCCAGTTGCCATTTGGGGGGGGAGGGGAGAGCAGCACCCACGGGTTAAAATCCCTTGGGAACGCTTGAACTCGCGTGTCATGTTTTCCCGTTGGAAAGTTTTGATTATTTTTTTTTTGGTTTCCCCAAGAACAGAAGGAAGGGGAAAAAGAATTAGAAGAAGGAGGGGGGAAAAAAAAGTCCAAGGCGCGACTTACCCAGGTCGGAACAATTGATCTCCCGGGTCGGGGGTCCCTGCCCGCTTCTCACCTGGAGCACCCAGGTGCCCACCAGGTCTTCAAAGGTGCAGTTGGCCGGGGTGTCGGCCGTGCACGGCCCGACTTGCAGCAGGGCGGCCAGGAGGAAGGAGGAGAGCCAGGCTGCCAAGCGCGCCATGGCTCCGAGCACGGGGGAGAGAGAGAGAAAAGAGACGGGCACGGAGGGTTCCCAAGAGCCTGCCGACCTGACTGGTAACCCTTTCCCCGGAACAGCGGGGCTCGGCTAGGCCCGCCCTTTGCGTGTCACGTGTGAAAGGGCTGGGGTGGTTGTTTTTTTCCCGGGCTCCGAGACTTTTTTGGCCCGGCTGCAACGAGAGTCTTTTTCGCCTCCTGCGGGGCGGATTCCCGGAACAGAGATCTTACTTTGCATGTCTTTGCCCGGAATCGATCTGGTGATATTTATTTTTGCTTTCCGCTGGAGAGTTTGGCTCTCTTGCATTATTATTATTTTTTTCCATTGTTTATTTGTACATTTTTTTCTTTCTTCTTTAAATTGACATGCATGCTTAATGAGCAAGTGTATTGTCTGGAGCCATTTGTTCATACAAAATATTAGTAAACTGATAAGAGTAATATTAATAATATATATCTTTTCTTTTATGTACACTGAGAGCATATGCACCAAGACAACTTCCTTGTGTGTCCAATCACACTTGGCCAATAAAGAATTCTATTTTATTCTATTCTATATTAATAATAACAACCAGATTTAAAATACGAATAATTGCTTTTTAGAATAGAATAGAATAGAACAGAACAGAACAGAACAGAACAGAATAGAATGAAAGAAATTGTAGGTTTCCAGTGTCTGTTTCCCCACTTGGAGCAGAACCCAGAAGGATATTTCTTCCAACAAAATAATAGGAATAGAAATAGGAATAGGAATAGGAATAGGAATAGAATAGAATAGAATAGAATAGAATAGAATAGAACAGAACAACAGAACAGAACAGAACAGAACAACAACAGAACAGAACAGAACAGAATGAAAGAAATAATAGGAATAGAATAGAATAGAATTGAACTCTTTATTGGCCAAGTGTGATTGGACATGCAAGGAATTTGTCTTTGGTGCATATGCTCTCTGTGTACATAAAGAAAAAATAAAATATATTCATCACGAATCATAAGATACAACACTTAGTGATAGTCCTAGGATACTAATAAGCAATCAAATCATACTAGGAAACAATAAAAAGAATATAAATTGTAAAGATAAAAGCAACATGGATATAGCCATAAGTGGGAATAAATTTGTAATCGATTCTTAACATCATTTACTTGCTAATATTCCATAATGATAATACTACTACTACTAATAATAACTAATATTAATATTGTATTATATTTTATTATATGTAATATAATTTCTTGCATTCTTTTCTTATATATAGTATTAATCTTTCATCTTCTAGTTTCTACCTCTTTTATCCAACCATTGATAAAACATATCCCATGTTAAAAAGTATTCTGTTTCTTCCTTATCCTTTATAATTAATGTTAATCTATCCATCTCTGCACAGTCTAATATTTTTCTAATTATACTTTCATCTGTAGGCGGGCCTTCATGATGCGTTCAGCCAATGATGCCTTTGGGGATGTGAGGTGAGACAACAACCCGCCTTCAAATCGGTTTCCCATGTTGGTTTGCAACAGCGGCAGGAATCAGAGTGTCATCAGGAGAGGGTACAGGGAGTCCTCAACTTACAACGGTTTGTTTAGTGACCTTTCAAAGTTACAATGGTGCTGAAAAAAGTGACCTAGGAACGTTTTTCAGACTTACGACCGGTTTTTACACTTAGGACTGTTGTGGCATTTCCCTCCCTTCTGGTCATGTGATCAAAATTCAGACGCTTGGCAACTGACTCATCTTTATGACGGGTACAGTGTCCTGGGGTCATATGATTCACCTTCTGACGAGCAAAGTCAACGGAGAAGAGCCAGAGTCCCTTAGCAGCTGTGTTACTAACTTAACAACTGCAGTGATTCACTTAAGAATGGAAGCAAGAAAAATTGTAAAATTTTTACAAAACTAATTTAAACAAATACCTCACTCAACAACAGAAATGTTGTGGCTCAGTTATGGTTGTAAGTTGAGGGCTACCTATAGTGTCACTAGGAAAGGAAAAGAGGCAACAGCTGTAAATCAGGAAAGGGTGATAAAAGTGCATCTGAAATTTTGGGAGAAATAAAAAAGAGCAAAAAGTGCCTTTGGCCAGGACTGAGTTAAATTGCTCTGGCAAGAAAGCTGTATATGAAATTAGCTGTCTGAATTGCTCAGAGTTGCTATGCTTTTACTGCTAATCACTGTCAAACCCCGGGTTTCCTTGGGGGCAGGAAATCGTGGTGCCCTTCAATGGCATCCTTGAATTAAGGGGAAAAAATAGTTTGTGAAGGGTTGTACAGTTAAGGATCAGTTGAAGATACAGTAGTGGCCAAAACTGTGGAAACCTTTTTTGGGAAAAGTGTATTTTTGAGGTTTGATGGCTAATAACACCACTTTTTTTGGAGTTTCCAGATAATCCTATTCCACTGCTGGAATGGCCTGGGAGTAGCCCAGGCCTTAACCCAATGGAAAATCTATGGAGTCGACTAAAGAAACGTGTTAGTCAGAAGTGACCCAGCAATAAAACCCAGTTAATAGAAGCAATCCTTCAATCTTGGTTTCACATTGTAACAGCTGCAGAACTAAAAGACTTGGGTCACTCCATGGGAAGATGTTGTAAGGCCGTAATTCACGCTAAAGGTTACCCAACTAAGTATTAACTGACATGGTGATAATTTTTGTATATCTCGTTTTTTCTATGGTGATAATTTTTGTATATCTCATTTTTTCTACGTGTTTCACTTTTCTTCTTTATACTGTAACTGCTATTCTAATAGCAAATCCTTCACATATGTTATTGCATTACATTCTTGATTAAATTATCTTTCCATTGATATATAATTTTATGGTATTACTTGGGTGAAATCCAGCAAGTTCTGACAGGTTCTGGAGAACCGGTAGTGGAAATTTTGAGTAGTTTGGAGAACTGGCAAATACCACCTCTGGCTGGCCCCAGAGTGGGGTGGGAATGGAGATTTTGCAATATCCTTTCCCTGCCATGCCCACCAAGCCACACCACACCACACCACGCTCACCAAGCCACGCCCACAGAACTGGTAGTAAAAAAATGTGGATTTCACCACTGGTATTACTCTAAAAAAAAGTGTGTTATTAGCTAGTTTTAGCAAATACACTTTTCCCAAAAGGTTTCCACAATTTTGGCCACTACTGTAAGTGGGACCCACTGGGGGAAAATGTTGCCAATCTATATTTGAACTCAAATTAGGTGAAGGTCACTCTATTTAGGGCAGTGCTTTTCAACCTTGACAGCTTGAAGATAGGTGGACTTCAACTCCCAGAATCCCCCAACCAGCAAATCTTGCTGGAAGTTAAAAGTCCACACGTCTTAAAGTTGCCAAGGCAGATAAACACTGCTTTAGAGGAGAGGATGATAAAGATGCAGAAGTTGGATTTACCATTACAGATAAGGCTTTGTGTCTCTTCGTTAGTCACTTCATTTCTTACAGATAATGGGATCAAGATAATCTGTGATGAAAAGTAGAACGTTTTTATTCCGAGTGCCTTTGGACATGCCCAGGGCTGCTACGGCAAGCTTATTCAAAAGGAAATTAGTTGAAGGGCCTTTGGTCTTTCCCGTTTTTGGGGGGCTGTGTTCGCACAATGCCTTAGCCACCCAAAAGCTCAAACTACGTGTAGGAATCTAATAAGGTGCCTTCTTATGCAAATACTGCCGTGATAGGATCAAAAGTGTAAATGTAAAATGTAAATGGCATAAAATCAAAATAAGAAGGACCTTGGAGTCTTAGTGGATGATCAGTTGAATAGGAGCCAGCAATGTGCAGTAGCACCCAAAATAGCTAATAAAATCCTGGGTTGTATAAACAGAGGTGTTGCAGGAAATGAAACGAGATTGGCCAAGCTCTCCAATGCAGGAAAAAGTTTATTGTGCACGGTTCAAACAGCCCAAAGGCAAACAAAAAGTCTGAACACCGATGGCTTCTTCTGGCCATGTATTTATACAGTTTAAAGGTAAAAGAATTACAGAGAGTGATGCATTTCACACGTAGAAGCTGCCCTTTCATCTATCTCTGGGAAAGGAAATAACAAACTTCTTCTCACATACTCAGTTCTCTGCTCCAGCGCTCAAGACATAACAAAAGGAGATAAGAGGCTAGGAGACGCCTCAAGGGCAATAAGGAAGCAGCACCCCTTATCCAGGGATATGCATGACATTTGGGATGCAATAAACATTAAACAACAGAATGTATCTGTTTAGGGTCAGTTGGCCCTTTTACAATTCTGTACCTACGTCAAATACCGTTTGTCATCTCAGCACCTTGGCACGGAAGAGGCACTTCTGTCTTGACCAAAGATTTGGATTTCTAATATTTGAGTTTTATCCCAATATCGAATCTTAGCCTGGCTCAGAGGCATAGAATCAAGATCACGTGAAGTATTAGTGCCGCTTTACAAAACCCTAGTAAGACCACACCTGGAATACTGCAACCAAATTTGGTCACCATACGACTTAAAAGATGTTGAGACCTTGGAAAAAATTCAGAGAAGAGCAACTAAGATGATCAAAGGCCTGGAGACTAAACCATATGAAGAACAGCTGCAGGTTTTGGGTCTGGCTAGTCTGAAGAAGAGAAGAATTACGGGTGACATAACAGCAGTATTTCCATTTTTGAGGGGCTACTACAAAGAAGAGAGGGATCGACTTATTCTCCAAAGCACCTGAAGGCAGGACAAGAAACAATGGATAGAAACTGATCGAGGAGAGAAGCAACCTAGAACTAAGGAGAAATTTCCTAACAGTGAGAACAATTAACCAGTGGAATAGCTTGCCTACAGAAGTTGTGGGTGCTCCATCACTAGAGGTTTTCAAGAAGAGACTAGGCAGCCACTTGTCTGAAATGGTATAGGGCAGTGATGGCTAACCTTTTTGCCAACGTGTGCCAGGAGAGGGGGGGGCGGGGGAGGGTCGCGCGCACGTGCCCATGCGCATGCGTGTGCAACCCCCTCCCCCATCCCCGCTCCTGGCACATGATGGCCTGGTTAGGGCCTCCAAGGGAGTGGGAAAGGCTGTTTTCGCCCTTCCCAGATACACACAGAGGATCTGGAGGCAGGTAAGAAAGAAAAACGGGCCTTCTCCACCCCGCCTCCAG